CGTATCCAGAGCTTGTGGGCTGCCTCATGTACCTGATGACTTGCACACGACCTGACCTCGCATACCCTCTCAGCCTTCGGGTTCGCTACGTGGCTCCCGGCAGGCACCGAAAGGTGCACTGGGATGCTGCGAAGAGGGTGTTGCGCTACTTGTGCAGTACATCGGGCATGGGGCTCGTGCTTGGAGGACGGGCTCGAGTTGTCCTCACTGGTCACGCAGACGCTTCCTGGGTTGATGACTTGGCTACGCAGCGGTCGTCACAGGGTTACATCTTCAGTCTTGGCTCCGGTTCTGTCACTTGGCGGTCTACCCGCTCTTCTTCTGTTCTCAGCTCCAGTTGTGAGGCTGAGATCTACGCTGGGGCCATGGCTGCACAGGAGCTACGCTGGCTCACCTACCTGCTGACCGACTTGGGAGAGGCGCCTCGTTCTCCTCTAGTTCTGTACGTCGACAACAAGGCCATGCTGGCCTTGTGTCAGGAGCACAGACTGGAGCACAGAACGAAGCACGTTGCTCTGCGCTACTTCCTTGCTCGAGAGTTGCAGCAGCGTGGCCAGCTTCGTCTTGCTTACGTGGCCTCTCATGCCAACATTGCTGATGTTTTCACCAAGGCACTTCAGCCTTATGATCATCAGCGTTTCTGTACTGTGTTAGGCCTTGTACCTACTGTGCCTCACTTGCTTTCTTCTTGAGTCTGCTTGTACTGTACTCTTTATACATGTACCTGCATGCTTACACTTGCTAGGTTGTGTTCACTGTATTGTCTGTTCTCTTTTATATAACTCTGCATGTGAACTGGCCTTGTGGCCATTTGCTTGTGCTCAGACTGCGTGGTGACTTTGTGATCCACCCTGAGCTTGCTTTGCCTTTCTTGACTGGTCTTGTGACCTCTTGTTCTCCCCCACTTTGCCTATGGGGGTGTGTCAAACTTATATGCTATAGTCTGTTTAGGCTGTAGTGGGGTAGTCCTTACAGGGTACAACGCTTTTAGGTTTCATATATGTACCCACCTGCTTTCTAGTTCAGTCATTCATTCGCTCACATTCTCACAAAGTTGAGCGGGGTGGTGATGTAAGAGTGCGGGGTCGTCGTCCGAGTGGGACAGTGACTCTTGGGGGAGGTCTTTTGGCAGTCATATCTCTCTCTCTCTCTCTCTCTCTCTCTCTCTCTCTCTCTCTCTCTCTCTCTCTCTCTCTCTCTCTACTTCCTCCATTTCTTCCTGGGTAAGGTCGCCTTCGGCGCGTTCTCGTTGTACGGGTTCGCCCCATTCGCCAGGTCCCCAGCCTTGAACGGTGCCGGAGGCGCCAGTGGCAGATCCCCATGTTGCTTCGGTGCCGTCGTCGTCTCCCCATGCACCGCGTCGCGCTAACTCCTCGTCCCAGCTTGCCGCGATACGTTCCTGATAGAGTTTTTCCTTCCTCTCAGCCCGTGCTTTTTGTTCTTCCTCCTTGACGCTGAGCTCTTCAGGTGCGTCAGGATCTTTCCACGTCGTGTCAATGTGGCGATAGACCTCGCGGCGATAAGGTCGCGGGTGGTTCTCCTCGTTGAAGGTTGTGGCGTGTGGTTCCTCTAGGATCCAGCAGAGAGTTTCGGTGCGCGGTATTGGTCGCTCCTGCTACATCAGCCCAAGATTTTCGTCTCTGGTCCTGAAAATGCGGTGAGTGGTGATGGCTGGCCCCATTTCCGTCATGCCTTTTGGTTCCGCGCTTTCCGCTTCTTTAATTGTCGCAAGATCTCTCTCCACTTCTTCTGTGCGGCTTGCTGTGGGTGTGAAGCAGGTGGTGCAGAGTCCGTCGGGGCCGGGTTGGTGCAGATTTATCTCACGAGGGTGAGGATTGCGGCGGATTCATGGTCAACCATCCGGATGCTGCCATGACTCCACGTTCATGTATGGAAAGTCCATGGGAACGAGGTCCACGAGCTCGTCTGACGACGCCTGGCAGTTGGGTATGTCAAAGTCGAGGACATAGACGCCGCCAAGCGAGCGAGCTCTCCCGAGGTACTTGTGCGTCTCGGCGGATGTGTCTGTCAGAATCCCAGTCACTAGACCATTGGGATAGAAGGGCTTGTTAAGTAGCGGGTCAATGCGCCCATAACCCCCCAGGACAACGAGCCTGTAACCCTTCCCTAGGATCAATCGGGGATCACCAGTGGACCTCTGACACCCCCCCGCACTGGGATGCCCGAAGTGCACACACTGGGATTCGAACCCGAGACCTTAGCTCTGATAACATGTCAGAATCCCAGTCACTAGACCACTGGGATAAAAGGGCTTGTTAAGTAGCGGGTCAATGCGCCCATAACCCCCTAGGACAACGAGCCTGTAACCCTTCCCTAGGATCAATTGGGGATCACCAGTGGACCTCTGACAGTGTCTGGAGGAGCGTAAGTGAGGATGAGATCCGTAGCGAGCATGAATCCGCAATCTTTAAGTTGTCCTGCAGACAGCAAGTTAAAACGAAGATCGGGCACGTAGAGCACGTCATTGAAAGTGATGTGCGTGTGCTGTCTCGATCTTGCAGCACTACAATGCCTTGCACGCTTGGACGCAGTTGCTCGTTGTTGGCAACGGTGACATAGGTTGCAGGGGCGCGGCTGATGTTCGAGATGTATCGAACGGATCCCACCATGTGTTGGCCGCAACAGCTGTCCAGGTAACAGGTGTTGTGGTTGGTGTTATTGTTGCGCAGGAGGAGTGCGAGCCGCGGAGTTACGAGGGTCGCCTTGTATCTTCTCTCAAAGAGTTCATCTTCTCTCCATCCCACGGGAACGAAGCGCTGATGGTCATGAGGTGGGCTTTCCCGCAGTTGTATTGGCTTATGCCAATCTTGCGCTGTCGAAGTAATGGTAGATTTGTGCTGTCTGTAGGAGGAGCTCAAGCTCAAAACTCCAGGTATAGAAATCTTTTCCGTCAAACACGGCAGCAGTCTTGATTTTTGAAACGCTGAGAAAGTATGCTTACGCAGAGTTAATGACTTCATCACTTGGACGAGGGGCTGTTGTTGTTGATTTGTCTGTGTCGAGGGAGAAGGTGTGCGCGGCGGTATCATGGCTTTTCGCAGCTGGTTGACCAGGTTGAGCTGGTTGGGAAGAGGTTCCCGCATCGCCTTTGCACAATTCTTGGAGATCTTTCTCCATAGTTGATAGTCGCGAAAATAACTGCTCGAGTGCGGCAGTGCTGATAGTAGTTGTCGCCTCATTTGTCGCAGCCGGGTTGGCTTGTCCTTCGGCCGTCAAATTCGTTTGGCCTCTAGATCCTCCGGCCATCTTGGTCTTGGAGCGTGTGTCGCTCGCCACATCTTGATTCGGCGAATTTCACGGAAGTGATGTTGCGAAGAATCCATGAGCAGCTCTCATACCATGTTACAATCCCAAACGGGACTTAACGAAGGATTGTCTCAGGGTTGATCGTAGGGTAGTGTTGCAACGGAAGTGTTGACCTCTGGTCAGAGTGAATGTAAATGACTGAGATGATAATAGGATGCATACATTGAGTTTATATAGGAAATACAAAGGAATGCAAAACGACCTAGACTAGCTATGTACTCTAAGGGGTATATTCCATTATTACAGTGAATTCAAACCATGCGGTGCGGGAACCCGTTTCAAACCTGTTCCCGCTCTTTTCACTTCAAATGCTTCTGCCTGCATCGGTCTTAGTCAGACGGTTGCTGGTGTCGCTTCGGCTCTTCTGACTCCTCGACTTCGTTCTCGGTAGAGTCAGCTCCTGCAGCATACAGGAATGCCTTCTCATTGAATTTCATATCGTAACACATGTGGACAATTGGATCTTCCAAGGCTCATTGTCCACAAAGACTTGATTGTCACTTCTGATCTCTCGTTTGGATTCAACCCCCTATAATTCCAGCACAACTCTGAAAATTAGGTATGGTGCGTGTTTTTAGTGCCTCCTCTTCTAATTTCCCGTTGACCCAGATTCTATAACCTGTTTTTATGGAGAAATTGAGCTGCACTCATTGCAATGAGCACAGATGAGTGAAAGCGGGTTTCACGGAGTAATAGACGGACACGATTCTGTATGAGCAGGCTGGGCGGGCTTATCGAACGGTTGCTTGCCTACCCTGAGTGCGCTCAGCATAGATTTTCCGCTCGAAAGCGGGGTGGGCGGTGGTACGAGCACCCACCCCGCTTTTATGAACATGAACAACCAGAATTTTGGGCACTGCCCTTTCAGTCGAGCGAACAGATTCACGAGTCACGACCCTTTTGGCTCCAGCGCTGCCAGTAAATTCATCACTTGCATTTCGCGAATATCTGCTGGACCCGAACACGATAGCCTCTCACATTTACGTGTAATCATTGCTTCTTACCAGGACATTTCAGAATCCAAACTCTGCCCTTGACTAAACCTTTGCGCTCATCAGTTCCGCGCTTCCTCCCCTCTCCCCCATTCCCCTTCCTTCCCCTCCCCCCGTGCTCCACTGTCGTCTGCCTAGGGTTTCATTGGTTCTCTTTCATCCGCTCTCAATCAAGAACCTTGAGCTCGCCTGGTGTAGACCCGATAACTCCAGCCTTCCGCGTGTAGCTCTCGTTGCAATGGAAGCTCTCCTGGTGTAGCTCTCACTGCTGGTGTAGCACTTGCTGCTTTGTGTAGCTTCTCTATAGGGGTTTCGCCGTGTACCTCTCTCTCTATTAGCTTGGATCACCATTTCCTGCTGCTTCGGGAGTGCAGCGACTACACCTGCAATCACTGTAGCTCCTAGGCTCATCTGGTACACTCCAAGCTCTAAGGCCCGTCCAATCCACGAACTCCGTCAAAATTTCATCATTGCAAAATTCCTACCATCATTGTGTAGTTCCAATCGACGCATCGCGGTGCCGTTATTTCTTTCAGCAGATTTCTGTCTTTCCATCCCAAGTCCCTCCTTAGTCCCTTCCGAGTCTAACTCGCATCCTCGTCGTCCCGATGTCGTCGTCTGTGCAGGGAAAGAAGACACGTGGTCGACTTACATCTGAGCCTCAACGATTTCGAAAGCGCAATGGCTGATCCGTTCGCTCAAGCCGTGTTCCGAGCGTACCGCGACGGGCTTCTCGCATCACAGCTGCAGGCGGAAAACACCGGCCCTGAGCCGGCGAATACAGGCGCGTCAACTCACGAGCAGTTCTATTCTGGATCATCGCAATACGCGGCGCAATACTCGGCGCCAGCTCATGATGCGCTGCACGGAGGATCGTCGCTACACGCGGCGTTAACACAGCAGCTGATTCAAGAAGCGGCGCGTCATTCTGCGTTTTCTCAGCAGTTAACTCACGAGACGATCCATGGCGGAGGATCTCAGCAAAATCCAGCATTCACCCAGCAGAATCCAACGTTCACTCAGCAGCAGAATCCAACGTTCACTCAGCAGCAGCAGTCAACGTTCACTCAACAAAATCCAGCGTTTGCTCAGCAGCAGCCAACGTTCACCCAGCAGCATCAGACGTTCACTCAGCAATTGACCCAAGGCGGAAGGGGCTCGCTCCATGAGCAGCTGGCGGTGGGAGATGCGGCGCACGGAGACGCGCTGCTGCAAGGAAGTCTACCAGGAGGGGATCATGGTGGAGGTTTTGCGGCCACAAACGAAGCAGCTACAAATGAAACAGTTGCAACCGAAGCAACTACCAATCAAGCTCAGGAAAGTTTCCTGGGACAAGCGGATAATAATCTGAATGTTCCGGCTGTTCAGGACAACCTGGGAGCCCATAACGAAGCAGCTCAAAACGAAGCAGCTCAAAACGAAGCGGCTCAACCTGAAGCAGCTACCGAAGCAGCGCGAACCGAAGCGGCTCAAAAAGAAGTAGCTCCAACCGAAGCAGCTCAAACCGGAGCAGTTCAAACCGAAGAGGCTCAATCCGAGGCAGCTCGAACTGAAGCGGCTCAAAACGAGGTCACGGTTAAAGTCGAGGAAGGCGCTGGTCCGGAATCCGGGACTGGCGCCGGAAATCGCTCCACCGCCGTCGTTTCTAACGGTGCTTCCGCAAGCGGTGTGTTCTCCATGCTCCTGGACATGCAGCACCAGCAGCAGCCGCTGCAGACCCCGCTCACGCCCGTCCCCGCCGTTCCCCCGCTTGCTCCGCTTCGCCCCGGCGATCCCAAGTCCCCAAATGCTGCTGCTGTAGTGGCGTCTGGGTTTGGACAGTCGGGGTTGCAGGGGCAGCAGACGCGACCTGCGAATAAGTATGACGCGCAGAAGCAGCGCGATTGGAACAATTTCAGCCAGTATTTGGCTCGGCATCAGCCTCCCGTGGCCATGATTCGCGCTACACCGCGTCATGTGGTGGAATACATGCGTTATATGGACCAATTTGGGCGGACGCGCGTACACGATTTAGGGTGTCCGTTATATGGGTCGAGCTCGGTACGGGAGTCATGTGTCTGCCCTATGAAGCAGGCGTGGGGGAGTTTGGACGCTCTGATTGGCCGTCTGCGGGCGGCTTTTGAGGAGAATGGAGGGAGGCCAGAGACAAATCCGTTTGCAACACGAATGGTGAGGGAGTATTTGAATGGAGTGAGGGTTTCCCAGGGTAAGGCGAGGGGGGTGATTTATGATAAGAGAAAGAGGGTGGTGGAGGAAGGGGGTGTGTATGACAGGAGGAGGAGGAGAAGGGTGGAGGAAGAGGATGAATGGGAGGAGGGGGCCAACTGGGGGGACTATGGGGGGGGACAGCAGCAGATGTAGACACAGAAGCAGCTTTCTGCATGGGCAGATAGTGTATTTGTGTTCCTGTTTCAGAAGACTGTAGAATAGAATCCTTTTTCTTTTTTCTTTGTGTTTTCTAAGATTCAGGATGTTGCATGTGTTACCTATTCCAAGCTGCAGATTGTGCTTTCTCTACTGGACTGTAGAGAAAGAAAGAATGGCATTGGGTTGGAAATACCGTATGAAACTTATTGGAAGCTAGAAAATTGTACTGCATGTTGAAATCTTAGAGCGTGTTCCTACGGCCTCATATCAGGCAACCTCGTATCAGATTCGCGTCCAACCGCACTAAAGCGCATCCAACCGCAGTCGAACACATTGAAACGTATTTCACCACGCGAAGCTGATACGAGGTGTTTCTGATACGAGGTGTAGGAACACGCTCTTACCGGTACTCCCGGTTTTGTAAAATGCACATGTACGGCACCGTACTGACTGCAGCAGCCACATGCCGAGACATCGAAGCCATTGTCACCCAAAGGCCAACCAAACCAACTGCAGCTCCTGATTCCCTCATTATCCTAGAGCGAGTGTGTATGGTATGGTACTGCTGCAGCTGCTTCTGCAGCAGCACTTGTTACTGGAGCTTCCTCACTTGCAGCCTGGCCGGCACATCAAATCACGCTGCCACTGCTTCAGCCATTGCTGCTACCAGACCACCAGATGACCTTTTCTCTACTCAGCACCTTCATGCTGTGCTTACCGTACCACTGCACCCAGCCACCCACTCATGCTCCTTCACCACCCCATACCCAGCCGCTTCGCTCAACTTTCTGAACCGATTCAGAAATCACCCTTTTGCTCCGCTTTCCTCTTTGCTGATTCAGCGCCTTTGAAATTTCTCCACCCACTCTTTCCTCCCTGCCTACACCTACCGTCTGCTCCAGACCTGCCCCTGCCCTGCTGTCACTGATCCCTACAGCTGCAGAAGTAGTTTCACATGTGCTCTCGTGCCAACTGCACCATGTGCTGCTCCCACATTGCGCCCCTCTCCTCTCTTCCGATCTCACACCCAGCACATTCACTCCACCTTCCGCGTCTCTTCCTCTGCTCCCTTCCCAACCCGCTGGCCCCTGCTCCTGTTCCTGCTGCTGCTGCTGCTGCTGCTCCTGCTGCTGCTCCTGCTGCTGCTCCTGCTACTGATCCCTCTGCACGTTTTGTCCCCTCTGCAACTGCCTCTGCAGCAGCAGCAACAGCTTGAGCCTTTCGTGTCAACTGCTGCACATACTGCTGCCACATTGCCATCCCACACCATCAAATTTACTCTGCCTTTCGCTTCTCTCCCTCTGCTCCCTTCCCATCCCCCCCCGCTCCTGCTCCTGATCCCTCTGCTCCTTTTGTCCCCTCGGCGGCTGCCTCTGCAGCAGCAGCAGCTTCAGCCTCTCGTGTCATCTGCTCCACATACTGCTGCCACATGGCCTCCCGCTCCTCCTTCCCCATACCCTCCATCTCCCCCATTGCACCACCCTCTACCTTCCCCCCTCCCCCCTGCCCCTGCCAGGACTGCTCGTCTGCTCCGAAGGGCAGGCGGGGGGGGGCCATCCAGAGGGCGAGGAGGAGGGAAAGGTGCGTGAGGAGCAGGGAGAGGGAGGAGGCCGGGGTGGAGGGGTAGATGTTCCAACACAACTCGATGGTCAGCCAGAGAAGCAGTCTGGAGAAAAGAGGGGACAGGGACGGAGTGAGGAAGGAAAAAAGGGGTTGAGAAAGCATTCGTTTTGTTTCCATCGCCGCTCATCCTAATCTCCCCTTCCCCTTTTCCTGCAGCACCGCACTGAATCGCCCTCCACCGTCCCCCCTCCCCCCTGCCCCTGCCAGGACTGCTCGTCTGCTCCGAAGGGCAGGCGGGGAGGGGCCATCCAGAGCGCGAGGAGGAGGGAGAGGTGCGTGAGGAGGAGCGAGAGGGAGGAGGCCGGGGTGGATGGGTAGATGTTCCAACAGAGCTTGATGGCCAGCCACAGGAGCAGTCTGGAGAAAAGGCAGAGAGCAGCCAAAAGAGAGAGTGGTTAGCTAGGAGGGGAGAGAATCAGGGGTGGAGGGGTAGATGTTCCAACAGAGCTTGATGGCCAGCCACAGGAGCAGTCTGGAGAAAAGGCAGAGAGCAGCCAAAAGAGAGAGTGGTTAGCTAGGAGGGGAGAGAATCAGGGGTGGAGGGGTAGATGTTCCAACAGAGCTTGATGGCCAGCCACAGGAGCAGTCTGGAGAAAAGGCAGAGAGCAGCCAAAAGAGAGAGTGGTTAGCTAGGAGGGGAGAGAATCAGGGGTGGAGGGGTAGATGTTCCAACAGAGCTTGATGGTCAGCCACAGGAGCAGCCTGGACGGGGAAGGGGTGGGGGGTGGGGACACGTCACAAGGTGTGGGAGAGAGTTAGGAGGGAGAGGTGTGTGAGGAGGAGGGAGAGGGAGGAGGCCGGGGTGGAGGGGTAGATGTTCCAACAGAGCTCGATGGTCAGCCACAGGAGCAGTCTGGACAGAAGAGGGGCGAGAGGAAGAACGAAATTGGGAAAGGAGGACTTGAAAGGAATGACTAGGAGGAGGGAGAAGATTGGTTGGATAGATGTTTCAAGACAACTTGATTGTTAGCCACAGGAGTAGTCTGGAAGTAGGAAGGATGGGGAGGGGTGGGACACAACGTGTGGTGGGAGAGAATGGGGAAGGAGAGGTGCGTGAGGAGGAGAGGGAGATTTCTGAACGGCTTTGGCATACTAGAATTGATCACCAACCAATCTTAACAAATCCTCTCAAAACGCGTACAGCCAGATGGATTTGGGTGCTGTGGACAGTGATTGCCGAATATTGCCTGTGTGATGGGGGAGTGGTGGCTACAACACTTACCTAAGTGGTGTGGGAAGAGGAGAAACCCATAGGAGGTATGGAATGGAGAAGTAGTACCTAATGGGGGGATAAGAGAGGGGGAGGAGGACTCAAATGCAGAGGGGAAAAGAGGAAAAGGAAGAGAGGAGGAAATAAGTATAAGAGACCAATCAGAGAAAAGACAGAACAAAGGAGGACAGAAGAGAACACGCGGCTGTGGGCTGAAAAAATATACATTTCGGGTTCAACTGTGAAACGCCTCGTTTAGGGACAGGGGGCAGTGACGGCAGGGAGAAGGGGAAAAGGAGAGAATTTGATACTCAGAGAAAAAGAGGTTTGACTCTCACCAGGAATAGAACTGGTAATGGAGGCTGCGAGCACAGAAGATGCCGATAAAGTTACCGACGAGCATCAGGTAGGTGATATCTGTAGTCGAGTGGGAGTTTTGGGTTTGAATAGATGATAGGAGTATCGATCGAGTTGCCAAATGAAATTTCCAACGAACATCAGATAGGTGTTCTCTGCAGCACAGTCAGGGGTTCGAGTTTGAAAAGGTGAAAAATGTATCTTTGGAAGTGGCAGTGGAACAATGCCCAGCAATGAAAACCTCCAGGGGATTAAGGTTTATTGACTCAGTTCAGGGTGTCGGCTGTTAACTTAATCGTAATCATGATTCAGGGCGTCACGTTTAACGTCAAAGTTTTGGGGTTGATGTCAGCATGAGGTGAGGGATTCGGTCAAGAGGCACAGGCAGCACAAGAAAAGGAGGATGCGATGGTGACGTGACGTGCGCACACGAAGCCATGATGATGTACGGTCGTGATGGGGTGGTAGAATGTAACGTACGGTCATGATGGGGTGGTAGAACGTAATGTACGGTCATGATGGGGTGGTAGAACGTAACGTACGGTCAGGATGTAGAGGGCGAGTCTGCAGTCTTTTGATCGGGGAGAGCAGAGCAGCGATGGCCACTCGGAACATGCCCCCCTCGTACCTGGTGCGAGGGAGGGAGTAGAGAGCAGGGGGAGAGGAGTGGGGATGGATGGAAAGCGATGGAGAGGGAGATGATGGGGGATGGTACGAGAGGGATGCAAGGGCAGCAATAGAGTGGCGGCTTAGCAACAGCAGCAGGTGCAGTAGCAGAAGTGGCTGTGGAAGCAGCAGCAGCAGTAGCAACAGCAGCAGTAGCAGAAATGCATTAAGATCTGAATGCACTGTACAAGCTTGCACGAGACCATCTTACTTGCATCAGGTGTATTGAAAGAGGAGTCGCAGCAGATGCAGGTGCACCACACTTCAAAAGCATTCAACAAGTTCACTTTTACAAAAAGAAGAAACAACAGCAAGTGCAGGCAGCAGCAGCAGCAGCAGCAGCAGCAGCAGCAGCAGCAGCAGCAGCAGCAGCAGCAGCAGCAGCAGCAGCAGCAGCAGCAGCAGCAGCAGCAGCAGCAGCAGCAGCAGCAGCAGCAGCAGCAGCAGCAGCAGCAGCAGCAGCAGCAGCAGCAGCAGCAGCAGCAGCAGCAGCAGCAGCAGCAGCAGCAGAAGCAGCAGCAGCAGCAGCAGCAGCAGCGGGTGCACTCCACTCATGCATTGGACAAACGCACCTCACTTGTATGGATGGACACCAGTCAAACGCAACTCACTTGCACCAGCAGAAGTGGCAGAAGAGCAACAGCAGCAGAAGATGCAGCGCCAGGAGCGAGAGAGCAAAGGGCTTGGAGACAAAAGTTGACTCTGGGACAAACTTGAAGTTGACAGACCTGATGGGACGAGAGGGTGTGATAAAAAATGACGGGCGGCAATGAATGTATGAGATGGGAGGCGAAAGGGAGAGAGCAAAGGGCTTGGAGACAAAGGTTGACTCTGGGACGAACTTGAAGTTGACAGACCTGATGAAACATGTCCATCGACTTCAATACGGAGCCCAAGGAAACAAGAGAAGAAGCACAAGAACAGATGACAAGAACAGATGACAAGAGCAGCGGGGCAGTACCAGAAGTGAATGAAGACGTGTGATGAGTCGATTTTTGAGTCGACTCAAAAATCAACTCAATACGGAGCCCAAGGAAACAAGAAAAGAAGCACAAGAACAGATGATAAGAACAGATGATAAGAGCAGCGGGGCAGTACCAGAAGTGAATGAAGACGTGTGATGAGTCGATTTTTGAGTCGACTAAAAAATCGACTCAATACGGAGCCCAAGGAATCATGAGAAGTAGCATAACAACACATGACAAGAGCAGCGGGGCATTACCAGAAGTGTATGAAGACTCGTCCGAGGTCAAATGCCCGGCCAAAGTAGGCTTGAGGGAAGGTGCCGATGAATGGCCAGCCAACCAGAAGCTGCCACGTGGCAAGCAAGAGCAAGGGTATGCATGGTGTGATGGTCATTGAACAACAAGAAGATGCGATTGACGGAAATATACTGGAACGGAATTACAGGACCAAAATAGATGGCTACAAACGGACATAGTGAGTAAGAGCCATTTCAATACATTTATTTCCATTTATTTTTATCACAGAATTCTTCACTGTAGATGCCAAACCCGAGTCACAAACCATAACCCCTGCCTGCTAACCTCGAATTAGACCATGGACCATAGACCATAGACCATAGACCATAGACCACAGACCACAGACCACAGAACACAGACCACAGACCACAGACCACAGACCATAGACCATAGACCATAGACCATAGACCACAGACCACAGACCACAGACCACAGACCACAGACCACAGACCACAGACCACAGACCACAGACCACAGACCACAGACCACAGACCACAGACCACAGACCACAGACCACAGACCACAGACCACAGACCACAGACCACAGACCACAGACCACAGACCACAGACCACAGACCACAGACCACAGACCACAGACCACAGACCACAGACCATAGACCATAGACCATAGACCATAGACCACAGACCACAGACCACAGACCACAGACCACAGACCACAGACCACAGACCACAGACCACAGACCACAGACCACAGACCACAGACCACAGACCACAGACCAAGACCACAGACCACAGACCACAGACCACAGACCACAGACCATAGACCATAGACCATAGACCATAGACCATAGACCATAGACCATAGACCATAGACCATAGACCATAGACCATAGACCATAGACCACAGACCACAGACCACAGACCACAGACCACAGACCACAGACCACAGACCATAGACCATAGACCATAGACCATAGACCATGGCCATAGCGTCCTCTCTACTACTGCAGCCCTTCGAAACATGAGTCAGGGTGACCCTATGGACATGCCTGAAAGCCGACTGCTGCACCAAGAAGAGCCACGATTTGAACCAAAGGAAGGGTCTGGTGCAGTGGGGTTTCAAAGGGACAGGATTAATTTCTTAGTCGTGAAATGAAAAGAGCGGCCACTTGAATCAGGGGAAGAGAAGAATCTGGTGCAGTGGGTTTTCAAAAGGACATAAATCTGAGATGAGAAGGTGGGGAGAGCTTGAGTCACTTACGAGATTTCTCAAAAGAATTCTCAAAATGCAAATTGCAAATTCTCAAAGGGGAGAGGGAAAGGGTGCTTGTGGTTGAAAGTTGAAGACCATTGGCAGCAAAAACCGCGTACAGTTATAACTCAGGGTGAGACGAGACGGTGATGTGATGGGAGAGGGATCAGAAAGTTTTTGAGACGTCTCAAAAACTCACTTTTTACACGTGGTTAATAACTCAGGGTGAGACAAGAGGGTGATGTGATGGGAGAGGGGATCAGAAAGAAGGGTGGGAATGCAACGCAATCTCGGCCTTGCTGAGAGCATGAGCAGAGCCAGTTTTGAGGCGTCTCACAACTAGATTACTATCATGCGGATTTTATACAGAGAGATTCAATGGCTGACAGGCCTTGCTGAGATACATGACAGCGATTTGCACAATAGCTGTTTGAAAATGAAAAGAAGCTTGTGCCTGTACGAAATGGATTGGGGGGTTGGAGGGAGTGGGGAGCGACCTTTGCCATGATGAGAAGCAGAGGAGGGAGGAAGAGGAGCACGTTCATCTTGACTGACACGCCTGCACTGCACACGTGCACATGCATGTGGACATCGCCGTGTGAAGGGATGGAAGGATGGAAGATTAAGAGCGGAGAGAGAGAGGAATGATAGGAGGAATGATAGGAGGAATGATAGGAGGAATGATAGGAGGAATGATAGGAGGAATGATAGGAGGAATGATAGGAGGAATGATAGGAGGAATGATAGGAGGAATGATAGGAGGAATGATAGGAGGAATGATAGGAGGAATGATAGGAGGAATGATAGGAGGAATGATAGGAGGAATGATAGGAGGAATGATAGGAGGAATGATAGGAGGAATGATAGGAGGAATGATAGGAGGAATGATAGGAGGAATGATAGGAGGAATGATAGGAGGAATGATAGGAGGAATGATAGGAGGAATGATAGGAGGAATGATAGGAGGAATGATAGGAGGAATGATAGGAGGAATGATAGGAGGAATGATAGGAGGAATGATAGGAGGAATGATAGGAGGAATGATAGGAGGAATGATAGGAGGAATGATAGGAGGAATGATAGGAGGAATGATAGGAGGAATGATAGGAGGAATGATAGGAGGAATGATAGGAGGAATGATAGGAGGAATGATAGGAGGAATGATAGGAGGAATGATAGGAGGAATGATAGGAGGAATGATAGGAGGAATGATAGGAGGAATGATAGGAGGAATGATAGGAGGAATGATAGGAGGAATGATAGGAGGAATGATAGGAGGAATGATAGGAGGAATGATAGGAGGAATGATAGGAGGAATGATAGGAGGAATGATAGGAGGAATGATAGGAGGAATGATAGGAGGAATGATAGGAGGAATGATAGGAGGAATGATAGGAGGAATGATAGGAGGAATGATAGGAGGAATGATAGGAGGAATGATAGGAGGAATGATAGGAGGAATGATAGGAGGAATGATAGGAGGAATGATAGGAGGAATGATAGGAGGAATGATAGGAGGAATGATAGGAGGAATGATAGGAGGAATGATAGGAGGAATGATAGGAGGAATGATAGGAGGAATGATAGGAGGAATGATAGGAGGAATGATAGGAGGAATGATAGGAACACGTGTATCTGGCCTGACATGCCTGCACTGCGCTCATGCACGTGGAAATGTGGAGCGATGGAGGGACGAAGGAAGGGTTGAAGGAAGAGAGAAGAAGCAGTGGAGGGATGTAGCAATGGTGGGAGGGATGGGGAAAGGAAGAGAGGGAAGGATGGATGGATGAGGAGGTTTGAAGGATGGAGAGAAGAAGGAGAGGATTCGGGAAGAGCAAAGAGTTCATCTCCGCTCACATCCCATCCCAGTGCACGCCCCCACCCCACACACACGCACGCGGCACGCAAGCACGAGGGAACCAAGCGCCTAGCCTATCGATCCTCTGCTGACCCGAAAGAAGCAGCACTGGAATATATCTGGAGGTGCAATAGGAAACCAGAAAAGATGCGTCGAGAAAGGTCATAGTCATGCGGTGGTTGAATTGAAGTGCCTCGTTTAGAGATCACTTACTGACCTGAATAGGAGCACTTCTGGGATCCATGGGGAGGATTGCAGTCTGAGGAGGGATGCGTGGAGGAAGGCCATGGCGAGGCAGCCGTTGAAGAGACGAGATTGATATCTGAGAATAATCAGAAGATGGTTTCTTCTGACCTGAATAGCAGAACTGCGGGGATCCATCTGGACGCCTGCAGTCTGAGCAGGGAGGCGTGAGGAAAGGCCATGGCGAGGCGAGGCAGTCGTTGAAGAGACGGAATTCAGTTTTGATGATCCGTGATAGATGGTTTCTACTGACCTGAATAGGAGCACTGCGGGGATCCATCTAGAGGATTGGAGTCTGATGAGTGAAGCGTGGAGGAAGGCCATGGCGAGGCGAGGCAGTCGTTGAAGAGTCTAGCTGCAGTCATTAGAGTGAGAAGTCTAGATGCTTTCTACTGACCTGAATAGGAGCACTGCTGGGATCCATGGGGAGGGTTGCAGTCTGAGGGGCGATGGGTGTAGTGTAGGGCATGACAGGGCAGTCGTTGAAGACTAGACTCTAGCCTGAGCCTTTTCTGCTGACCTGAAGAGAAGCGCTGCTGGGATCCATCCATCTAGACGACTGCAGTCTGAGCAGGGAGGCCATGGCGAGGCGAGGCATTCACTTTAGAGTCTAGACTGGTCTCCAAACTGTGTCTGCTGACCTGAATAAGAGCACTGCTGGGATCCATCCATCTAGACGACTGCAGTCTGAGCAGGGAAGCATGCAGGAAGGCCATGGCGAGGCAGTCGTTGAAGAGTCTAGCTGCAATCATGTGACAAGTCTAGATGGTTTCTACCGACCTGAAGAGGAGCACTGCTGGGATCCGTCCATCTAGACGACTGCAGTCTGAGCAGGGAGGCATGATTCGTGGAGGAAGGCCATGGCGAGGCAGTCGTTGAAGAATCTACAGAACGCAATCTCTGCTGACCTGAATAGAAGCACTGCAGGGATCCATCTGGATGACTGGAGTCTGAGGAGCGAGGCGTGAAGGAAAGCCATGGCGAGACAGTCGTTGAAGAGGCGGAGCAGGAAGATGGAGTGTAGACGCTTGGAGAGACACAGCAGCACGAGCACCCAGGGGGGCACCTGATATAGAAAAGAGATGACAGATTGGGCAGGTGTCGGGAATGAGGGAATCAGGGGCGAGAGGTGCAGCGGGAAGATGAAGTGCAGACGCTTGGAGAGACACAGCAGCACGAGCGCCCAGAGGGGCACCTGACGAGGGGGACCAGGGAAGATGTGGGTTGGTGGGGGCAGGGAGGAGAAGAAAGCATGAACGTGGGTGCAGCAGACCAGCACATGCCGTGGAACGAGCAAAAGCACCCACCAGTGACCTCCTTGTTCTCAATGATACCCATACGCAACCTCTGGCTGCGAACACCATAAAACATATTCATGACAACAGAGGACAGGACACGAAGAGGCATGCCATGTGCTGTAGTTTTGTTTTGAGAATTCTCAAAAAAACCCTGCAGCAGCACGAAGAGGCGTGCCATGTGAGTCAAGTCAACTATAGAGTAGATGTAGCATGCCATGTGGCATGCCATGTGAGTCAACTATAGAGTCGCCTCGACACACCACAACATCTGCATCGCTGCTTCTTACCGCCTGTGTGCGGATGTAGATGGCGAAGACCATGAGGAGGTTGATGAGATAGAGGACGAGGAAGGCCACCTGCGATGGAGGCGAGGACGGAGCGAGAAGAGAGCAAGGAGAGACGGAGGAGAGAGAGAGGCAGGGGTTGTGGAGGAAAACAAAACAAAATCAGAAAATGGAGACTACGAGAGGGCTGAGGAGACATAGGAGGGTTAGGTAGGAGAGATGGAGAAGAAAAAGTGGAGACTGTGAGAAAGGCTGAGGAAACATAGGAAGAGACGGGAAACCCATGTGCAGTTCCAGGAGCCTACCTGAGCTTCCTGGAGCCTGCCTGCACTTTCAGGGACCTAAATGAGCTTCCACGAACCTTCCTCACCTTCCAGGAACCTACCTGAGCGTTTGGCATGATTTCCCCGGTGATCCATTTGAGAGCAGAGAAAGAGAGGAGGAACTTGGCAGGGTAGACAAGAGGGCCTGCGTCTTCCTGGAGCTTCCTGGAATCTATCTGGCCTTGCCAGGAACCCACCTGATCGTTTGCAACAACCCCTCCTGTGATCTATATGAGGGTAGAGGAAGGGAGGTGGGAGCCAGCAGGGTAGACGAGGGGGCCCGTGTCTCTCCCAAGCGCCCCGGAGTGATCCCCCACCCTTGTGCCCCTGAGTTTCTAAGAACCCACCTGAGCGTTTGCCACGATTCCCCCGGTTATCCACTTGAGAGCAGAGAAGGAGAGGAGGAACCCTGCAGGGTAGACGAGGGGGCCCGTGTCGCCCTCCAGCTTGGTGTAGTCCCGCTCGCCGTGCTGAAAGCCCGTGACTTGCGACATGTACGCATCCCAATCTATCTTGGTGTCTGGTGGGTGGGGGAGCAAGTTGGATGGATGGAGGAAAGAAGAGTTTGTTTGAATGGCTCTAAGGTAGATAAGAGGGCCTGTGTCTCCTTCCCTCCAGCTTGGAGTAGTCGCGCTCGCCGTGCTGGAAGCCCGTGACTTGCGCCACGTACGCATCCCAGTCTATCTTGGTGTCTGGCGGTTGGAACAAAACGAGATGGACGAGGCAAGCGGGATGGATGACGCAAGCGGGATGGATGGAAGAAGCGTAGTTCGGAAGACGACAATGACGGCGGCGGAGCGACAATGGCGGGCGAGTGGCAATGGCGAGACGCACAGGGGACTTTGGCGATGATCGCGGAGCAAAGCACCGCCTCTGCGATCAGAAGCAGTCGTGCGACGGCCCACGCCGCCTTGGTGTCGCGCGGGTCGCACACGCGACGGGCCCACATCGCAATGGTTGCCTTCAGCGTCATCGCTCCGCCCTGTGCGACAACGCGATTCGCAGCGGGTTTTTGTATTCGCAGAAGTATCAGTGGCGTGTGGTTGAGCGATATGTAAGACGAATCTGCAGGTTCAAGCCGACGAATGGCTACTGTTGGTTTTCGAAGGATATAGAGAGGCAATCTGCGCGTGTTTCTGGCCGTACGATCTACGGATGATTGAGAATCTACTGATCAACCGTATAGAGGGAAGTTCTGCTAGCTAAGTCGACGCAGTCAAATGCCACTACGGGAAAGTTATTCGCTGGGTGGCTGCTGCTGTGGTGCGGGAACCGTTGAGGATTCCGATCACGATTCGTTCTGCTGTTTGCTTGCTGTGGGTGGAGCTCGACCATCAAGGGAATATCGCAAATGTATCCGCTGCAGTACAGTCCGATATGAAGAATGATGTATTGAGGAAAATATTCGCTCGTCTTACAATTTCACTGGGAAACATAATTGCAAATCTCCAAGCTTTCATGTCCGTACATCTCGAGGTTGGGTGGGTCGGAGAGCGCGATCCCATCCCATGGCAAGTAGTGGAATGGGTCCTCCTGAACTCCCTATTTCCACACTAGCAGTGATGGCTGCGGATGTGGGTGATCGCATTTACCTCGTACAGTTTTGGACGTACTCCTGGTAACTCTCCGCGCTAACAGCGCGTGCACGTCGCACCTCGGAAAGAAGTGCGCGTCGCGCGTCGCAGCAAGCTGTCGCTAGCTCCACACAGCCGTGTCTGCTTGTTGAGACTTCCCTGGACCAAGTCTCTCGTCGGTTTCGGAGTCCGTCGCAACAATCTGCAAAGCTCGCGGTCTTAGCCGCAGCCGTGCTCTCCCTCCCACCGATGCGTCGTTAGTTTCATTTCAGAAAATTCTCACCGCTAGTTCTACACCACTACTGCAGCTACACCGCAAGAATTAAAAATCAATGGATCTCACCGTCTCTCTCATCCCCGACCGATCCTGCTGGGTGCGCCTCCCCCTCCACTTCCTCCACTCCCTCACTCTCTCCTCCTCCTCCGACGAACCCCCTCCCGCCCCTCTCCTCCTAGACCTTCGCCGAACCTCCCCTCCTCCCTCCTCCCAACCCTCGACTCACGCCTCTTCCCATGCGTCTTCCCGAGCCTCGGCCAAGCCGCTCTTTTTGGCCTGGGGCGGAGCCGCGGCAGCAGGTTCGGCGCTGGAGGTTCCGCGGGAGTTGGGGGAGTGTCTGGGGCTGGCGGAGGGGGAGGGGGTGCGCGTAAGGGTGCGCCTGTGGGGGAGCATTCCGCCCGCGGAGGCTGTCCACGTGGCACCTGCCACGTCAGACGACTGGGAGGTGCTGGAGCTGAATCCGGCGCTTCTGGAGGAAACCATTCTGCAGCAGGTGGGTTCCGGGGGAGGTGGGATTTGAGGGAGGTGGATACGTTTGGGAGGTGCTAGAGCTGAATCCGGCGCTTTTGGAGGAGACCATTCTGCAGCAGGTGGGTTCCGAGGGAGGTGGATGCAAGGGGGGCAAGCCCCACCCTAGCGATTCCCCTCACCAAAGCTTCAAATTCCCCCTCTCCTCGTTCCGCCCCCCCGTCCTCCCCCTTTTCCCCTGATGCGCGCAGGTGGGCGCGGTTGCAGCAGGGCAGTCCTTCCCCATATGGGCGCAGGGGCAGGCCCCCCTGCGCCTGTGCGCGCTCTCCGCGTCCCCCTCCCCCCTGGTGCGCCTGGTGCCCGGATCCGAGGTCATTGTGGCTCCCCGCACTAGGGGGGGCTTGGGGGAGGGCGCGGAGGGAGAGGGGGGAGGCGCAGGAGAGACACTGATGGGTGGGGCAGGGGGAGCGGGAGGGGGAGGGGGAGAGGAGAAGGGAAAGGAGGGGAAAGAGGGGAAGGGAAGAGGTGGAAGGGAGAGGAAGGTGCGAGTGTGGTTGCGTGTACAGCCCTTTGATTGGTCCGTCGTTTCAGGCCAATCACACGACAGCTCTAGTGACGATCTGGCACTTTGTAATACACGTGGCTTGTTTAGCAGCAGCAGCAAGGGGGGCGCAGCAACAGATAGCAGCAGAGGAGGAGGGGGAGGGAGTGGAGATGGGTTGGTGGTGGTGGAGCCAGCAGGGTGTGTGTTTGTGAGCGAGGCTGACTGGAAGCGAGTGGGAGGGGGAGGGACACAGCTGCAGCACGTGCCTTGTTCTGTAAAGCCCTCGCATGCAGCACAGGAGGGCAGCCACGAGAGCGAGAGCAAACATGGGAGTGCAGGTGAAAGTGTGAGCGGGAGTGTGAGTGTTCACAGCACAACAGCACGTCCCCCTCTCCTCCTCCTTCTCCACGTGCCAGCATCAGCCCGCCGCCCAAAACCCACCAATCAGGGCCCAGCATCCAGCTGGTCCAGCCAATCGCAGCGCTTCTCCTCGCGCTCCTCCGTTCCTGTGCGGGTGCTGCCCTCCTGCCACGTGGCAGCAGGCCATTTGATGATACCTCCGGCCCTTTCCCTGTGCCTGGCAGTAGACTGGTTCTCAAAGGTGCTCCTCAAAGGGACTGTAGGCGCTTGGGGTGGTGGAGAGGGGTGGAACGCGGTTGGGGCTGGTGATGATGGGTGGAATGCGGTTGGGGGTGGTGGAGTGGAGACCCGGAACGGTGGAGGGGAGGGAGTGAGTGGGGGAAGAAGCAGAGGGAGTGCAGGGAAAGGGAGTGTGAGGGAACCCTCTCACACATCTCCTCCCTCCACTGTCTCCTCCTGCCTCCTCATTCCTCCCCCTCCCTCTCTCTTCCTCACCCCTCTGGTCCTCTCTGGTGCTGCGTCAGTGGGGGGTGCGGTGTCAAGGGGAGGATCCGGGGGAGCAGGCGCAGGAGGGGGAACGGAAGGGGGAGGGAGTGTTATTGGTGATTTTTATCCAGGGAACGAGCAGCAGCAGATTCAGCAGCTGGATCGGCAGCAGCAGGCGCGGTTAGAAGCGGTTGGAGTGGGTGCTGCTGTGGAAGCAGCAGAAAGGCATTGGAGGAGAGTAGCTGGGTGGAGGGGAAGAGAGGGGGGAAGGACTAGAGAAGGGGAGAGTGGTGCTGGAATGGAGGAGGGAGAGGGAAGGGAGCAAGAGGAGGAGGATGAGGGGAGGAAATCCCAAGGCCGCTTTGAGGTGTCTCAAGAAAAGAGTTGTTCAGGAGTGCGGGCGCTGGTCTGTGTGTTGCTGCAAGGAGTCGGGGTGGGGCAAGCTAGGAGAGAGCAAGAAAGAAGAGGAGGGGAGCAAGAAAGAAGAGGAGGGGAGCAAGAAAGAAGAGGAGGGGAGCAAGAAAGAAGAGGAGGGGAGCAACAAAGGGGACAGATGGGGGGGGTGCCTCTGGTGGATGGTGCGGTGCTGAGACTTGTGTGGTGGGACAGAGCAGGTCGGGGCAGAGCAGGTTGGGACGGAGTGGGTGAGGGTGGAATGGATAGGGTTGAAGATGGAGCTGCAGAGGGAGGTGAGGGAACAGCAGCAGCAGCAGCAGCAGCATCAGTACCTGCAGCAGCAGGAGCAGCGAGGGACGCTCTCTTTCTGCTCACCTTTGGCTCGCCCCCAGGGGGGCGCACTCGCCCTGCTGCTGCTACTGCTGCTAGTGGTGTGGCTGGCATAGGTAACTCGCCTTATGACCCACTTCGACAGCAGCAGCAGCAGATGGGAGCATTGACCGCACTCGCAGGAGCGGTGTTGGGAGGAAGCATGGGGCTGGGAGGGGCTGCAGGGCAGGGGATGATGGGAGGTGGTGGAACCAGGAGGACCGGCAGTCTGGCAGGAGGGATGGGACCTGGGAGCAGTATGGGAGCATATGGGAGTGCTTCACCAGTCCCTGGCTCTATCTCTCATGGGTCGACATTGGGATCTTCAGATAAACCCACAGATGGACCTTCCTCTGAAGCGTCTAAGACGCTTCCTGCCGTTCGGGCGGCTGCCAGCGAGGCGGTGGACAGCCTGGCGCTGCTGGCGGCCGTCCAATCGGAGCGCAGCGCTGTAGCACTGGGAGCTCCCATGGAGTGGGCTGTCCCCTTTACAAGCAGCCCCGGAATCGTTTGTAGCCCGGTGCAGGCCCAGTCAGCAGCATCGCCTCATCATAACTCAGCTATCTCTCTGGGTCACTCTTCGAAAAATATCTCTCCTGTGCTTTCTGATCTGCTGCCTCTGCCCACATCCTCAGCATCACTGTTAGACACACCAGCAGCACTGACATCAGTAGCAGCACCATCAGCATCATCAGCAGCAACAGCAGCAGCACTGAAAGCCATCGCACCACCCCTAGACCATCCCTTCTCCTTCACTCTCTCCTGGCTGCACCAACCAGCCTCCACAGCCCAATCCCACCTTCTCGCCTCTCTCTCCCTTCCCTTCCGCCTCACCCGCCACTCCCTTCGCCTCCCTTCCCCAGGCTCCATTCTCCTCCACGGCCCCCCTGCAAGTGGCAAAACCTCCCTAGCTTCGGCCCTGGCCTGGCAGGTTCGGAACGACCGAACCTGCCTTGCGCACATGGAGTTTGTCAGCTGCTCTAGGCTCGGGTCCGAGCCTGCGAAGGAGGTTCGGCGGGTGCTGGGGAAGGCGGTGGCGCGGGCCAATGAGAGGGCGCCAGCTGTCGTTGTGTTGGACGATCTGGATGTGTTGGTTCCGGGGGCGAGTGGAGGGCCGGAGGAAGGGACAGGTGGCGGCGCGGGATTGGTGGAGTTCGTTGCTGACCTGATGGATGAATGCCAGGTAAGGGGTAACATGGTGAGGTGGCATTTCTATGGTGCACATTGTTAGGTTAGGGCAGATGGATGAATGCCAGGTGAGCAGCATGACATGGTGAGGTGGCATGCGTATGGTGCACATAAGATATTGCACATGGATGAGTGCCAGGTATGGGGCAACATGCCTTTCACTCTCTCCTCTGTACCTCTCGCAGCCATCCTCTCCTCACTTCCCCTCACTTCTCTTCACCTCATCTCTCTCACCCCTCTTTTCCCATCCCCTCCCTCTCCTCCCATATTCCAGGCCCAATAGGCCCCCATTGCTTTCCTAGCAACAGCCCCCTCGCCATCCGCCATAGCGCCATCTCTCCGTGCCGCGTGTCGCTTTGACACCCCTGTGGAGCTGCCCCCCATGGGGGAGGGCCACAGAGCAGCGCTGCTCAGGCGAATTCTGTTTTGAGTCCGACTTTCCTATTTGCCCTCTCACCTCCGTCTCCTCCCTTTCTGCTCGTCCCCTCCCCTCCATCTACCAGTCCCACAATGCCCCTATAGCCTTCCTAGCAACAGCCCCCTCGCCATCCGCCATAGCGCCATCTCTCCGTGCCGCATGCCGTTTTGACACCCCTGTGGAGCTACCCGCCATGGGGGAGGGCGAGAGGGCAGCGCTGCTCAGGCGGATCCTGCAGGAGAGGGGGATTGGGTGGCAGGGGGGGGACTCTCTGCTCCAATTGGTGGCTGCCAGGTGTCAGGGCTGCGACGCGTCGGATCTTGAGGTGCTTGTTGATCGTGCGGCTCACGCGAGGCGAGGGCATGTGATGTTCGAAGCAGGAAGAAGGGGAAAGGGTAGGGATGGGTTTGGGGAAGGTGAGAGTGAGGGCGGAGGAGGAGGAGGAGAGAAGGAAAAGGGAGGAGTCAGAGGCAGAGTAGCCATGATGGTGCCAGAAACGGCCAGAGGAGAGCAGAGGTGGGCACAGGAGCAGGTGGAGCAGGTGGAGCAGGAGCAGCAAGAGCAGTCAATACAGCGGCACCAGCAGCAGCAGGCACAGCAGCAGCAGGCGCAGCAGCAGCATCCACTCCTCCTCTCGGAGCCAGACTTCTCTGCCGCCCTGCAAGGCTTCGTCCCAGCAGCCGTGCGTGGCGTCGCCAAGCTCTCCTCCTCCTCGGACCCCTCCTCCTCTTCATCCTCTTCCTCCTCCCCCCAGCTAGGCTGGGACGACGTGGGAGGAATGGCTGACGCCCAAACAGCCCTTAGAGAAGTCTTAGAGCTCCCAGCCCAGCACTCCCATATCTTCGCCTCAGCTCCCCTCCGCCTTCGCACCGGTGTGCTTCTCTTCGGCCCGCCTGGGTGTGGGAAGACTCACATTGTCGGCGCTGCTGCTGCTGCGTGTGGGATTCGGTGTGTCTCTGTGAAAGGCCCGGAGCTGCTGAATAAGTACATTGGAGCTTCGGAGCAGGCGGTTCGGGACGTGTTCTCCCGAGCCTCCCGCGCCGCTCCGTGCATTCTGTTTTTCGATGAGTTTGATGCGATTGCACCGCGAAGAGGGCATGATAGCACAGGGGTGACTGACAGAGTAGTGAATCAGCTACTAACGGAGCTGGATGGTGTGGAGGGGTTAGAAGGGGTTTTTGTGGTGGCCGCTACGAGCCGTCCAGATCTGATCGATCCGGCTCTGCTGCGTCCTGGACGGTTGGATCGGCTCGTGCTCTGCGATTTCCCCGGGGAGGAGGACCGGCTGGCGATTCTCCGCGCGCTTTCCAGGACGCTTCCTCTGAGTGCTGACGTGGACCTTGCTGAGCTGGCGCGACGCACGGAGGGGTTCAGCGGCGCAGATCTGCAGGCCTTGCTGGCAGATGCACAGCTGGCGGCGGTGCATGCTGTGCTGGATGAGAGTGAACGGGGGGGAGGAAGGGAGAGTGGGAAAGGGGGAGGAGAGGAGGTTGAGAAGAGGGGAGGAGGGGAGAGTGAGAAGGGAGGAGGAGAGGAGGCAGCTGGGGAGGGGAAGAGAAGTGGAGATGGAGGGGAAGATAAGACAGAGGTGGAAGGGGGAGCAGGGAGGCAGGCAGTGGAGGGTAGAGGTTCCGAGGACCAGAAGAAGCACCGGAGAGCGAAGACAGGATTGGCGAGGAAGGGCAGAACGGGGAAGAAAGCGGAGGGAGTGGAGGCAGGGAGGCCAGTACTGGGGAGGGTGCATCTGCAGCAGGCGGTGGGCAGCGTGCGGCCGTCCGTGTCAGCAGCAGAGAGGCAGCGGCTGTCGGATATCTACGATGAGATGATGGGGGCGCGGAAGGGGAGCAGTGCTGCTGCGATGGCGGAGAGGAAAGGGAAGCGGGCCACCTTGGCCTGAATCAGTGAGCCATCAGTGTGGCTCTGCCATCAGTGTGACTGGCTTTAATGTAGAGGAGAGGCGGTTGGCGATATTCGCTGCGAGATGGTGGGGCCGAGGAAGGGGGGCCGTGCTGCTGCTACGGCGGAGACGCCAGGGAAGTGGGCCACATTAGCTTATGAACTAGGATGGTGTGGCTGTTACAGGGGCCATTTTTGAGTCACCTCAGCAGTATGTGATTGGGGTCAGGATCAGGGCTAATTTTTGGTTTTGAGCAACCCTTGTGATCAATATTGCACCTGTTCAAAAACCTGATTATCAGTGTGACACCTTCTTCAAACCCTGATCCATCAGTGTTTTTCTTGTTTTTGAAAATCCAACCATTTGGCATCAGTGTACCAGTTTAGCAAACTCTGATGAATTGATATTATCGTTGCAAACATTAAAATATTTAGATCATCATACATGCCACATGGGTGTTGCTCGTCGTCAGTTACTTCAGCAGGCTGAAATTCCGGTTTCGACAGTTGGCAATCGGGAATCCCGGGTTAGGGGAAAGGGGGGGTGGGGGAAGTTGGGGGGGGGTGGTATGGTACTCGCTTCAGGGTAATGTCAGAGGTCCACTGGTGATCCCCGATTGATCATAGGGAAGGGTTACAGGCTCATTGTCCTGGGGGGTTATGGGCGCACTGACCCGCAACTTAACAAGCCCTTTTATCCCATCGAGCCTGTAACCCTTCCCTAGGATCAATCACTAGACCATTGGGATAAAAGAGCTTGTTAAGTAGCGGGTCAGTGCGCTCATAACCCCCCAGGACAACCAGCCTGTAAACCTTCCCTAGGATCAATCGGGGATCACCAGTGGACCTCTGACACCCCCCCGCACTGGGATGCCCGAAGTGCACACACTGGGACTCGAACCCGAGACCTTCGCTCTGATAGCATGTTAAAATAGGCTCGTAACTTAGTAGACTTAGTAGCCTATGGTTTGAGCTTAGAAGAGTACCGAGAGGAAAGGTCGAGGGTGTTGACCAAAGGAGGAACGAGAATGGTGTTCACTATGAAAAGAGTTACCAGTTATAGCAAGCCAAAGGGTGCACCACCTAACATGATAGCAATAGAACTACACTACAGCTAGAACTACATGCAGTTATAAATAAATATATTCTGACACACCCCCTAACTGCATGCAGGAATAGCCATGTGCATAGCACCCCTTGAAGGGGTACACCCTGCGCAGCGGAAGACAACAGAGAGGAATGCGAGGAGGAGGAGACGAGAGAGAGAGAGAGAGAGAGAGAGAGAGAGAGAGAGAGAGAGAGAGAGAGAGAGAGAGAGAGAGAGAGAGAGAGAGAGGGGAGAGGAGAGGAATGAGGAGAGGAGGTGGGGGGAGCCATGCGGCGAGCCCCTCTTACGAACCCCCGTTTTACAAAGGGGGGGGGGGGGGGGGGTGAGAGAGGGATGAGGAGAGGAGGTGGGGGAAGCCACGCGGCGAACCCCTCTTACGAACCCCCGTTTTACAAAGGGGGGAGGGTGAGAGAGGGAGGAGAGGAGGTGGGGGTGAGCCTAGCGCCGCGAGCCCCTCTTACTAACCCCCTAATTCCACACCCCCTTTCAGCCACCCCCCTCAACCTCACCCCCCTTGTCAACCGCCCCCTGGAACCTCACAACTTCCCCCCCACCCTTCCTCCAACGCCTTCCCCACCCACGGTGGTCCCTGCTCAAGCCTTCACACGCCGGCCAGAAGCCCGCCACCCCCTTACCCTCCCCCCCACAGCGGCACGTGCGGCAGTGAGAGAGAGAGGAGGAGGGGCGGCAGCGGGGTGCTCACACCCGCCACCCCAAACCCACCCCCCCACTGTTGCACGCGCAGCAGGGAGAGAGAGGGGAAGGCGAGCGGCAGCCTTTGGTGCCACCTCCCCCTTACACCACCTCCCCCTCCCCCAAAACTGCTGCACACACAGTAGGGAGAGGGCAGAGAAGGGAGGGGGGGCGAGGTGCGCGATCTGGTGGGGCGGGCGCGGGCAGGCAGGGCGCACGAGGCGCCGGGCAGAGGCGCACGAGGCTCCGGGAAGAAACCGCCACTGCTGTAGGAGCAGCAGGGGGGGGAAGGTAGAGGCGGAGGGGGGGGCTGCTGGCTTGGTGACGAAGCAGAGCAGCGGGGCGCTGGAGGTGCAACCACCCCCCACCGCCACTCCTGCGTCCCCCCAACACCCCCCCCCCCCCAAACCGCTGCACACGAAGCAGGAGAGGGAGCAGGAAGCGGGTGGCAGGGACGGCGGGAAGCACTGCGACGGGCAGAAAACCGTCGCACGCTGGGGGCGAGCGACGGGCAGAACACCGTCGCGTGCTGGGGGCGCGCGGCGGGCAGAAACTGACGCACGCCCGGGGCGTGCGACGAGCAGAAACCGCCACACGCTCGGGGCGTGCGACGGGCAGAAACCGCCACGCGCTCAGGGCGTGCGACGGGCAGAAACCGCCACACGCCCGGGGCGTGCGACGAGCAGAAACCGCCACACGCCCGGGGCGTGCGATGGGCAGAAACCGCCACGCGCTCGGGGCGCGTGACGGGCAGGGGTGCTGCATGACGGGCAGCGCGATTGGTGGGCCCATGAAAATTAGGTCCTGGGAAGGACCAGCTCTGATAGCATGTTAAAATAGGCTCGTAACTTAGTAGACTTAGTAGCCTATGGTTTGAGCTTAGGACAGTAGCGAGAGGAAAGGTCGAGGGTGTTGACCAAAGGAGGAACGAGAATGGTGTTTGTCAGAAAGAACGAACGAGAATGAATGAACTAGCAAAGAGTTGGGTACAAGTACTAACCCTAATTGGGTTGTACCCCTTATGGGATACCCCACTATAGACAACACAAATGTAAGGACTATGATGTTCTGACACACCCCCATAGGCAAAGTGGGGGAGAACAAGCGGCCACAAGACCAGCCAAGAAAAGCAAAGCAAGCTCAGGGTGGATCACAAAGTCACCACACAGTCAGAGCACATGCAAAGGGCCACAAGGCCAGTTCACAAGCAGAGTTATATAAAAGAGAACAACACAGTGATCATACCCTAGCAAGTGCAAGCATGCAGTTATATATATAGATCACAGTACAAGCAAAGTCACGCAGTAAGCAAGTGAGGCAAAGTAGGCACAAGGCCTAACACAGTAGAGAAGCGCTGATGATCACCAGGCGGAAGTGCCTTGGTGAATATATCAGCAGTGTTGGGCCTAGTGGCCACGTACGCAAGACGAAGCTTGTCACGCTGCTGCAACTCTTAAGCAAGGAAGTATCGCAGAGCGATGTGCTTCGTTCTGTGCTCCAGTCTGTGCTCCTGACACAAGGCAATCATGGCCTTGTTGTCTACGTACAGAACTGGAGGCGAACGAGGCTGCTCTCCCAAGTCAGTCAGCAGGTAGGTGAGCCAGCGTAGCTCCTGAGCAGCCATGGCCCCGGCGTAGATCTCAGCCTCACAACTGGAGCTGAGAACCGAAGACGAGCGGGTAGACCGCCAGGAAACAGAGCCAGAGCCAAGGCTGAAGGTGTAACCCTGTGACGGCCGCTGCGTAGCTGAGTCGTCACCCCATGAAGCGTCTGCGTGACCGGTGAGGACAACTAGACCCCGTCCTCCAAGCACGAGCCCCATGCCTGACGTACAGCACAAGTAACGCAGTACCCTCTTCGCAGCATCCCAGTGCACCTTTCTGTGCCTGCCGGGAGCCACGTAGCTAGCTAAAAGGCTGAGAGGGTACACGAGGTCAGGTCGTGTGCACGTCATCAGGTACATGAGGCAACCCACAAGCTCTGGGTACGGACCACTCGGCTCTACGGACTCGTCCGAAGGTGGAGCTGAGAGCGAGTGGCTGGTAGACAGAGGAGTGGGCTGTGGCTAGGAGAACTGGAAGCCGAAGCGCTGAAGGACCTGGTGCACCTTGTGTGACTAAGTCAGGGTGATGGTGCGCCGTGCTCTGTCCCGGGTGATCTGCAAGCCAAGATAGCTGCACAGTTAACCCAGGTCAGTGCAGGTGTGTCTCTTTTGCAGCTCGGACTTCAAAAGGGTCAGTGCCTCAATGTCAGCAATGGTAAAGACGAGGTCGTCGACGTAGACGAGGACGTAAAACGGTGGCAGCGAGGTGTCGATGCGTAGAAATAGCAACGGGTCAGCAGTAGAAGGAGCAAACCCAAGAGCCGCAAGTGTATTCCTTAGTGTGTCGTGCCACTCGTGAGGCACCTGGCGAAGACCGTAGACTGGCCGCCGGAGGCTCCACTGGGTACCTGCAAGAAACGACCCAGTGAAGCCAGGTGGGCAACGCAACCAGATCTCCTCGTGCAGGATGCCCTGCAAGAAAGCTGTGCTGCAGGAGAACCCGGCGGCCGCTTCACCCTGAAGATCCACATGCCATCGACTATGTTCGCCCCAGGTGGGGGAACCTCATCGACGTAGGTGCTTGTGGACTTCCAGGATGCCATCTCGGCATCCATGGCTGCCTGCCACTGAGAGGAGTAAGGACCCGTAATCGCCTCTGCGTAAGAGCGCGGGGTCCGGATGTCTGTTGCATCCGGGTCTCCCTCAGGGGCAAGCAGCATGGAAGCAAAACGAGGTACAGCAGCTGCAAGACACTCAAAGTCCTCCTGCCTGTCCTCAAGGACGTCCGTGCCAAGAGCACACTCACCCCCGACGGATGGAGGACTGGCAGACTCAGACTCAGCAACAAGAGCAGTGGCGTAGTCTAGACGACAGGCAGCAGCAAATTCAAGCAGCTCAGCAACGAGAGCAGACGCAGCAGCAGACTCAAAAGAAGGGTCAGTGACAGCAGTGGCAAGGAGACGAGAGACAGTGGGACTGGCAGCACGAGCGCGGTCAGACTCAGGGTCAAGGACCTCAGGTAGAGAGGACTCAGGAGGAGCAGGCAGAGGAACACGCAGTGGAACAGAGGAAGGACGGAGTGCCATAGCGTGCGTGCCGGGGACAGGAGGAGGACGCGAACGAGGAACGCGACGAGTAGTGCAAACAGGCGAGACAG